CTTCAGGGTGGATATAGCTCGCTAGCAGCCTCGCACAGAGGACCTATCGTCATCATTTACCCAGAATGCTTTGCGTGTAAATAAAATGGCTCAGTCAGCAGAACAAGCTCGAGGTCGAGATGATTTGGCAAGTTTTTCATTTGCGTAACCCACACACTCAGCTCTACTGCTCATCCCACACATGCACTTTCCTTACAAATGTAGCACCATTTAAAATGGAAAATAACAGGCTTTAATCTAACAAACACACATTTCCTTACTTTTAGTGCTAAGCTTAGAATCAAACTAATGCAAGATGGCTGCCACAGCTAGGCAACTACCTGTAAGTCAGCCATTTTTACAACTTCTGACCTAAACTCTGCTGTGGTAGTAGCTGAGAGTCGTCCCCAACATTTACTTCATGTGCAACATATTTGCAGAAAACCTGGGCATTAAACTTATGGCGCCAACCCCGTTTGTCGGTTAGCAAAACCTCTTTCACAAATCGTTGCCTTTAAACACAGATCGTCATACCGTCTACAAATGGAGGTTAAAGCTCTATCACYCAAAGCRAAAARGTTAACGCATCCAGCGAGATCTCGAAGTACTGCGTACGACCGATCATTTACAACGTTTGACAAACTGAAAACTGTTGGCGCATCCCTTAAAGGAAAGTCAAATATTTTTGCAAATTCTTATAAAAAAGGGACAAAACATTGGTACTCACATCGAAGAAAGCCTTTTCACTGATGTGTTTGGGGGCTCCGATGGTGGGCGCCGCGGTCGTTACGCTCTCCACATCGGACAGCTCGATGTGGCCTCGGCAGTTTGTGTCCTCGCCCGTGTCGTAGTACCTCAGCTGCAGAGACATCGTCTTTTAAAGCAAGAGCGCGATAAACCTGAACGAGGAGCGTTTTTTAATTATTATTTTTGTTCACCTGYTGCTTCGTGATGTCCAACACGAACCAGCGAGGTTTCCAGCCTTTCAGCAGAGCCCCTCGTTTGTACAGAATCCCCTCGTAAGACCTGGAAAACAATCAGACGAGACGCACAGCGTGTAGCCAGAGTAAACCATTTAAATACCTTTAATGTTAGCTTTCTGATCCACTCATTTCATCTGCTGGAACGGGTCTWTCAGAGCGTTATTAGGGAATATGAAAAATGTTGAACACATGCAAAAAAAAAAAGATATAAATAATTGATACAAAGTAGTTTTTAATGAGTATTTTTTTCAACCCAGAGGAAAAGATCCAGATGTCGGAGCCAAGAGTCTGTACTTTAACCTCGCTGTAATTGTAAAATTACACGCCCAGGTTTTGACAGAGCACATAGTATTCTCCCTCTCAATGTGACATTCTGATGCGCTGAGTCATCCTCCAAATCTGGACCGGACCCTCGGCATGCAGTTTACACGAAGAGTCCAGCTTTTTATTTGCTCTGGAGAGCTCCGGAAGTTCACAACCCACCTGTTCTCCTCGRTTTTGGGGGTGAACTGGTTGTAGAGAGTCGCGGCGCGCCGGTTGATCCCGTTGGCCGTGGTCGGGCTGCGGTCGTCGCCCAGCGCGCTGTCTGGCAGGTGCAGCATGGAGCGGCGCTGGAAGGCCTGCAGGCCGGACGTGGGAATGAGCCCCGAGATGGACAGGGACTGCTTGCAAAGCTGACGAGAAAGAAGGGAAACATCGCAATTTTTTTGAAACAAAACAAGTGTGAAAGTAGATCACTAATTCTGGTATTTTGTATAACGTTTTGAACCATTTTTTTTGTCTAACACCCACAGTTCCTTCTTGTTTGAGGTCTTCTTGAATGCTGAGTCGGACTCGTTCCAGAGTTGTTTGCCATTTCTCGGGAGCCTGGTTCAGTTCAGCCTCCAGCCTCTCGATATCCTGCAGCAAAAAATAAATAAATAAATAAATAAATTAAAAAAAGAGCCCAAACAAAATAAAAAAAAGTCAAAAGTGGCAAGAATGCCTGTTGTGTTCCCGTGCTCTTACAGCGAGAAGTTTGGTGATGGCGTCCGGCTGGGCGTGGCTCACGCTGCTGTAACACGYCCAAACGATCCGCCTCTTACTGCCGGCGGGGGCGTCCGACTCCTCCGTGCTCTCCGACCTCACGGCCATCATCCTCCAGTCGTAACAGGGCCCCGTGGACAGCGTCTCCTCCAGGAAGAAGTCCCATTTAGCCAAGCTGGGGACGCTGATGCAGGGCTTCAGGACCACCTGCGGCACAGAAAACACCAGTTCTCACTATGTGGTGTGCTGCGAGGGTTAACGTAGGCCAACGGCAAGCCAGGCTCCTTTGGAGCCAGGAAAATGAGCGCAATTGCTCCTTTAATGACAGGACGAACACYTTGAATTGGAGAAAAATCACAGAAAGACGCAAGAAAAAAAACACTCATAAAATTTCAGTATAATAAAAGTTTTTATTTCTGTGCAGCCCGGGATCAAGTCATGGTCTCTTGGCCCGGTGGCTGGAGAACCTTTGCTGTTTGTCATAAAGCTGCAATATTTTAATACAGGAAAGAGCTTTTCACTGCTCTAAGTTCAAAGTAGCATCCGCTAAACGAGGGCTATTCAACTGGTGGCCTGTGGGCCACATCCGGCCCACAGGTGACTTTCATCCAGCCCACCAATGACCCCTCCAAAAAAGAAAAGACATTTTTTAATTAGTTTTTTTAACTTAATTTAATATAAAAATACATCAGATTTCAAGCCATTTGTAAATTAAAAAAAAAAATTGTTTCAATGCAACAAAAGAAAAGTACAAAGTAAAATATAATACTGCTGTGTTTCACCTATTATTAATGGTCACGCCCCAGTAATGGTAGGTGAACCCCCGGGATGTTATGTCCCTGAGCTGTGTGAATCGAGTAACCCTGCCCCCCAGAGCGATTTAGTTGAACAGCCCCCCCCACCCAAACCTTAAAGGGGCAATATTATGTGTTTCTCAGGCATATATTTAAATTCTATACCATAGTAAAGAATCTACGTTACCTTCAGTTGTTATTAAAATGCTGTTTTTATGTTTAAATAGAAAATAAACTTGACTTCTCATCATATCGTTTCTAAACACCTTGAAATTGGTCTCTGTCTCTTTAAGAACCTCCTTCTGCTTCTGTCCTGCCCATTTCACTACGTCATCACAGCTGCTTCTCTCTACAGGGCTCTGTGTGTCCCGCCTTGTGCTGTGATATGGAAGCTCGGTGTAGTTTACTTGGCATCTGAAAAGACATTTCCTCAAAGGTATTTTCAATCTGAAAAAGGATGCATTGAGAAGTAGTATTGGGAACTCAGCTGCTTTGRTGCTACCGAGAGCCTGCAGGAGTCATGGGCGGGGTGTGGGGGGTGGGGATGTGTACTTTGTGATGAGGAAGCTCAGCTTAGAGACACAGCCCAGAGGAGGAGCTGGTCCCAAAAGGRGGTTCTAGTCCCAAACGGTTGTTTTTGCTCCCCTGCCTGGCTGCCTCAGGACACTACAGGATTTCTTAAACATGCATGAAAGAGTCAAAGCAAGACTCTGGGCATGTTTTTCATGAGAGGATAACATTATAACATGATATAAAACTCAAAAAAGTTGGTTTTACACGATATTGCCCCTTTAACAAACAGCCTTAACTTATCTTTAAACTATGTAAAATCAACAATCACTTCTTTTGTATTTGAAAAACACACAATGTYAAAATACTTGAATTAAAATTTGCTCGATGTCACACTGATTTTGCCCGTTGAAAAGGAGGTTGTGCTCGTGTGCAGACTCTGGTTTCAAAGAAGCAAAATGGCAGCTTCCGTAAACTAACTCCTGCTGACTTCTACCCCCAACAACGAGACAACAACGAGACAACAACGAGACACTCGTTCTATTAATATAAAGAGTCGGCGCTTTCAGCAGATACCTCGAAGTGAGATCTTGGTGAGTCAGCTCTAACAGTGACAGGAGGACAGGATACACAAACACTCACTTCGCTCTCTGAGGGGCTGTACAGATAGTTGAAGAAGATGGGGCTCCTCCGGTGCATCCTGTTGATGCAGTCCCAGATGCAGATGCCTCTCCTGACCTGCTTGTCACCTTTGTCCTCAAACAACAAACCTAAACAAATGACAAATTTTGATATTTATAAAAACCATTGAACAGTACTCTTGAAACAATACAAACTTGTTTTAACTGGACTCAAGTACAGTATGTGWGGACTTGCACAATCCAACTTTCGCAGATAACGTATTTACTGTAAGTAAATCCAGGAATTAGTCTTTCTAACAAAAACCTAAATTAAAAGAAGATTATCACTGAAATAAAAGGAAAGATGTACATTTGTAACGGAGCTTAGTAATTTGTGTGGTGCAACAAGGCCACGAGGTTATTTAAACTGTTTCCGGTCAGTAAATTCATCTGCAAAAAGAAAGTGAATATTTGAGGATAATGAAGACATTCTCCAGCTTAAAGAGGATAAAAACATCCCCCGTGGTTCGAACTGTAAAGGACACAGACCGTGTTCTAAGCGCTCATAGTCCGAGTCCAACAGGAAGTTCTTGAAGCGGTTGGAGATGTGGTGATAGGCCAGGAACTTCAGATAATACTGATTAAACTCAAACTCCAGAGGATGTTGCTCCAAAATCTGCAAGGACATTAAAAGATGGATTAAGACAGTTAGAGTCTGGGAGGGAAAGTCAGTGTGTGTGTGTGTGTGTGTGTGTGTGTGTGTGTGTGTGTGACAGCTGGGTTTGTGTAGCGTTGAGTTGTGGCTTCACTTCTCTCTAGCGTAAAAAAAATAATAATTAGGAACAGGAAAGAATGTCTCCTGTCCCTGTGAGGCCAGAGGTCAGTAACATCATCACCACAAGACACAATCCAGACAGAGCCGGAGCGACTGCAGCTCCATTGTTCCCGTCCAGCCGTGTGAGGTGGCCAACGAGAGCGCTAAATATCCCGGGCCACCTGGGTCTGCTGGCAAAAACAACAGCTGTTTCGGAGATGAGGCACTTCTATTTTCAGCTCGTGTCCGAATCTCCTCTTTCCCCCCCCCTCGTTTATAATTTTCTACACCCCAGAATCGAAGCCAGATCCTCGATCTGCCAAGCCTGCAGTTTCAAAAGACAAATGCAGAAACTATTCGTTGATGTCAGTGCATGGGAGTGGGTCTGCGAGACCCCAGGAGACACACACACAAAAAAAAAAAACCCACAGCATTCTCCTAATTTAGCTTTTCAGGGTGGATACGGTCCTCTGTTCATTCTTAACTCCACTGCCACCCCCCCCTCAAAGCTCCTAAAACCTCCCCCTTCTCTGTCCCTCAACACCCAGATCTGCCGTTTTCCACATGCAGCTCTGAACACGCACCGACGAGCGAAAACTGAATGTTGAAACACGCGAGCGCAGACACCGAGTTCACAGACCATCTGTGCAGCAGCCTCCCCGCACACGTCCAGGTGTAATCTGCTGCTAGGTTTACATCTGAGATGGGTTCAACTAAAGCAACGTTTAACAAGACGATTTGCATTTCCTGAAAAAAAGCAGTGTGAACGAAGGTCACACTGCTTTTGAGGTCACTCTTTCAGGTCAGTCACTTTGAATGAGGTCACTCTTTCAGAGATGAGGATGTTCTCATTCTTGATAGGGAGGAACGTTGGTTTGAGAGAGAAGTAAAAGAAGCCATTTTTGTGAAGAAAGACCGTCCATCATTAAACAGAGGTGGAGGCCTCCGTTTTCAGCTATCCCCCTCCTACAGCGCAGCCATTGGCAGTATCTCTCCACCCCCTGTTAACAATAAGTGTTAATTAGGTGTGAACGATAGCCATGTGATGTGAGTATCAGTCACCTGGAGGCAGGACTCAAAAGCCTGAATTTTGCCTGAAACTCTCAGACTGAAGAAGTCTCTTGGAGGAGAGACGAAACGTTTCATTAAAGAAGAACCCGTCCAGAAGACCTGTACAATTTTTTTCCTTTTGATTTTTTACCTGGATTACTGAGATGCATCAGGACAGTGTGAACGAAGGTTTTATCATGAAAACCTAAAAATATCTTAAAATGAAATTAGCACAAACAGAAAGAACAGGTTCACTGAATTAAGCAGGAAGCTGAAATTATCACAAGAATATGAGATGAGCTGAAAAAAGCTCAAATTAGCTAAAAACACAGAAAACAGCTTAAATGAGCAAAAAYCAGCTGAAGAAAGAGCATGTTTGCTGAGCTAAGCAGTAAGTACCTGAAACAAAATGGTTGAATTTAGCTGGAAAAAGCTGAAAATAGCTAAAGAGTAGCTTAAATTGCAGAAAACAGCTGAAAGAAGCAGAAAAAGCTTAAAAAAGGAGAAAGAAGCACAACAAAGTTGAAAGGAGCAGAATAACAGAAAAGCTAAAAAGGCTAAAATCAGCAAAGCACAAAAAAAGGTAAAAAGAGCAGCAAAGATTTATGTACATCTTAAAGGGTTTTAGGGATGTTCAAGATGGCTCCATTTATTTTCAATGAAGAAAAACGTGGCCCAAATAGCTAAATATTTTAAAAAGTATCAATTGCTGAAATACCAGAATTGTTAAAACAGCACAAGTTGCAGGGCGACATAAAACGTACGGAACAGGTGGTTTCTCTACCTCCTCACTCGCTCGCCCTTTCACTTTTCAGTAATAACATGAGTTCATTCAGATGTTACGAGCTGAGGCAGGGTTAAAGATGCTCCAGTGCACCTGTGCTGCGGGGCGGGGAGGCTCACCTGGTGCACACAGTCCAGAAACTGCAGGAAAATGGGTGTGAAGCCACTGCCCTGGCTGCTGGGGCTCAGGTTGCTTCGCTGGCTGAACTTGTGGCCAAAGGAGAGCCACTCCTTCTCCAAGAGCACCTGAAAACCTTCGAGAGTGCGATAGAARGGATCGCTGAGCAGCTGCACCAGAGACGCCACCTGAAGGGAGAAAAACAAAACRGTGATTTATATGAGCCGAAATGCAGCACGAATGATTACTGCTAAAATGTTTTTGTTCAAAGAAAAAAAAGAAAATGTGTACAAAAATGTTGTCATTTATTACAAAATAGCCCCCAAAAGCTGAAACTAGCAGAAAAGTAGCTAAAAAAGAAAAAAAAGATGCACAAAATTTTGCAATTTGTTTTAAAATAGCTCAAAAAATCTGAAATTAGCAGAAAYGTGGCTAAAATGAGCTGAAAACGCTGAATCTAGCACAAGAAGCAGAAAGCGCATGTTTGTTGAATTAAGCAGTAAGAAGCCGAAATTATAACAAAACTGTGAATTTAGCTGGACAAAGCTGAACATATCTAATAAAAGCTTAAACTGCAGAAAACAGCTGAAAGAAGCATAAAAAGCTTAAATTTGCAGAATAACTGAAAGAAGCTGAAAAGGAGGAGATAAAAAAGCAGAAAAATTAGCCAAAATTAGCAAAAAAAAAAAAAGAAGTTAAAGGAAACTGAAATTAACACAAAGAAGCTTAAAAAAGGCAAAACCGGAACAAAAGGTGAAAAGTTCAGGAAGGGTTTAACTATTTTGAAGTATTTTAAGATTGCATTCATCACAGCATTCACAGTATTAACCTAATTAAACTCTTAACTTTAATAAAAAGCTGTGCCTCAGTGAGCATTAAAAAATATTATTTATTAAAAACAAAAGTAACTAGTCTAAATATTTTACTGTAAAAGAACTGGAATGTGCACATTTCTTGCAGGGTGACCCCTAAAGTTATGTGATCATCACATTTCCAGATGTGACCCAATAAAAACAAAAAGCTTTAAAAAGACAAAACACGCTGGACATTTCTTGGCGATGAAGTAACTTAAACTCTGACATCAGTTTTGAGTTTTTGATGATGAGGTCAGTTTCACGGCCAAAAAAAAGTTTTTTATGTAATACTATAAAATGTCACTAAGAAATGTACATTAACCTGAGAGAACAAAGTGAACTTGATTGGTCTTTTCTGACAAACAAGTTACCAGAAACACTTTGCAAATACCTCTAAAATTGACTCAGATTTTCTTGGTTTTCTCTTTCCTAGAAGAGAACATGCTTGCTGATGGTAAATAGGCTGCCTGATCGTTGCACTTGTGCAGCAAAGTGACCGGTTGAGACCTGCTTGTCTGTACATGAAACGCAGTCGGCCTGCTTTCCTGCCTGCGTCACCTTCAACATAACTAATGAGCCGTGACGTGTGCAGAGCGAGGAGGACAAACATCCAGCCCCAAGTGGTCAAAGAACTGCCCCCAACGCCCGGACGATAAAGAAAGCTGCCCAGCATGCAGTGGACTGAGGTGTGAGGATAAAAAAAATGAGAGGGGCACAGGGTGAAGCGGAGCAGAAAGCAAAGGCTGCTTCCTGTCTGCTGGGTGTCTCTGCTCCGTGAACGGGAGCATATGGATCCCATTTTCCTGAGTAGGCCGATCTGGATCGAGCCTGCTGGAGCCGGCGGCCCACCGAGAACGATGCTGAGGGCCGAACACGCGCCATCAGATTCACAAAACGCTCTTTTAAACAGCGGCCCAGGGGCTTAACAAAACTCGCGAACAAACATGAGGGAAGCACARGAACATGTTCCGTAACAGGTCAGAGTGGAAAACTAGAGCTCAGGAGAGCAAGGTTACAGACGACCCATCGGGACCGCCGCCAACACTCAGACTGAATCAGAACCACGAGCTTCTGATTCGAACGGTAATGTGGTGACGCGGGGCTTCACCTCTTTTATAAACGTCTGCACGTCGATTCGACAGAGAAACAAACGATCAGAAGACGAGCAGGAAAAACAAGAGTGGCAGATTTACGATTCGCACGTGGCCGGTGAAAAACACGAAGACACAAAAGAAGAAACTGCAAAACGACAGAATTCCTCGGTGTCGTTACACAAGCTAACATCTGGGCTAACATCTGCCGAGCTTAGTCAACACACAAAAAATGGCTGCAGCTTGCAGATATTGAGCTAAAATTTGATTGTCATCAACAAGACCAACTCTCGAGTGTCCAGATCCCCTCTTCTGGTTCAGACCTCTCAGTAATGGTGTCAGATTTACAATTAATAACTAAACGTCAACGCAGATATAAAACCAAACCTAAATGTGACGTAAGTAAGTCAAAACAACTCAAAATCCTGCAGAGATCACAGAATAAAACGTTTATATCTCTAGGAGGTGAAATGTGAGAAAACGGAGAAAAGGAAACTGTACATCAGAGTGCATTGCATGCTGGGTAACGACAGCCATGTTTTATGATAAAGCCAGTAGGCGGAACTACAGCTGAAAACAGAAATAGAAAAATGACAGCCTGTGAAATTTGCTGATTTATTTTAAATGTTTTTTTTATATATATATTTTACTGTTATTTAACCAGGCAAATCTCACTGAGGTCACAGATCTCTCTTTCAAGGGAGGCCTGGGTCTGGAACTTTTGGTGCTGTGGGGGAAACCAGAGAAAACCAACACGATCACGAGGAGAACATGCAGACTCCACACAGAAAGACCCCAGGTCCGAACTCTTCTCGCTGTGAGGCGACAGTGTTAACCATGGAGCCATTGTGCTCCAGATCAAAGCAAAGATGCGCATTTTCATTTCACTTTTTAAAAATTTTCAACAAATTATCTCTGTGATTGAATGAGGTCCCAGCTGCAAAGGATGCTTTTTCTGACTTTTTACAATCGTTTTGAGGGTGGACTCTGGTTTTTCTTGAGTCAGGAATTTGTGGTCTGTATTTAAGAAAATCACTGCTGCATGTGAAAGTCAATATTATTGAATATATGAAGGAAGTTGTGACGCACATTGTAAGATTTCTATCAGTAAAGAAAATAACCAGTATTAATACTAGCCAGAGTTGTAAAGTAACTAGATACAAATAATTTGTTACTGTACTTAAGTAGAATTCTTGGGTATCTGTACTTTACTTGAGTAATTGTTTTTCAGTCTACTTTTTACTTATACTTCTAACATTTTCACACAATTATCTGTACTTTCTACTCCTTACATTTTTTTAAAAAAAGGCAAGAAGTAGAAAGTCGTTACTTTCATTTCATTTTTGCTTGTTTTCATTCCAGCTTGTTGTAAAAAATAAATACTATCCATATAAATTGTGCCTCCTAGACAGAGTGAATTTAATAGTGGGTGAATGAGAAGTATAAAGAAATAAAATTCTGATAGCGTATTAGTTTGTACACAAACAAATCACACTACAGCAGGACATATTCATTAAAAAAGCCCTCATATAGATTTTCATTTTGGGGGAAAAGGTTTGTGCAGCTTTGATATATAAACTGAAACAGCTGGACTAGTGCATCCTAAATTTAACATAAATTAATTTACTTGATACGACAGTCATTTCTACATTTTTTCTAATAAATGTCATTACGTAAAATCTATCTGCTCATTTTAAATCAATTATTTTACTTTTAATACTTAAGTACAAAAAATATCAGATACTTTGACTTTTACTCAAGTAATATTTCTAAAGGAGATTTTAACTTTTACCGAAGTAATTTTTTGGTAAGATACCTGTACTTTTACTCAAGTATCACTTTGTGGTACTATATACCAGTGTTTCCCAAAGTTAGGGTCGGGACCCCACTTTGGGTCCCGAAAAATCAAGGTGGGGTCCTGAAAAGATTTTCTGAATTAATTACATTTRTGCCTTAGTTGTTACAAAGCAGTGAGGTTAGTYTATTTAAAATGGATAAATGTAGTATAAAAAATATTGTTACTATGCCCATGTTTTGTTGACCTGATACAAATGTTTATCATCCAAAAATAGTTGGGGGCTCAGGTCTCTGCTACTGTTTTGTACTATTTTGTGGGTCAAAAGCTGAAAAGTTTGGGAACCACTGCACTTTGGTTCCCAAAGTTGGGCTTGGGACCTAATTATGGGTCATGAAGCACCTTGGATAATCTCCAGAAATCAATTTAAAGGGTAATAAAATAATTGCTGATGTAATATTTTCCCTATAATTATTACAAAAACACAAAATAAGTAAAAATAAGTATTTATATTTGTGTATAAGCTGTTTAGATTGTCAAAAAGRCTGTGTTTTTAGGGTTATTYARGAAGTTCATGTAVTCAGACCAGTAATATTTGGGGTCACAAGTTTTTGCCATGGATATTTTGTGGGTCAGAAGACAAAAAGTTTGGGAACCACTGCTTTATACAACACTGATATTAGCGTAAGTAAAGTCTATTACGAGTTTATAAGGTTGATGCCAATTAACGATTAGCTAACCGCTCAGCAAAGTATTAGTTCTGCTAATATCAGGTTAGTGGAACTGTGCCCACTACTGGCAAAATGTAACAATTATGCAATAATATGATTTCTGAGGTCTGATCTTAGTGGGACAGTGAACAGTGACGGGCTTTATACTTTTCTTCAAGGAAGGCTAGGCCTTTATTTCTTCACATGTGTTTCGACTCCTTTAGAGGGCTTTTCGTTTTTTTCCCAATCTGTACGTCTCACTCAAGCTTTTCACTGAGGCATTAATGCATTCTCCTCACTTGTGTGGTGACATCCCAACCGTCCTCCAGGCTGAGCAGAACAGACGAGCCGCTGTCCAGAAGCTCCACCAGGAACAGCGCCAGCTGCAGGATCTTGTGAAGCTGTTGAAAGGCAACATGTGTGCGTGTGAACAAATAGACGCGCAGACACCAACTGACACATATGATTAAGCTCATCCCGAATATCGTTTCCCACAAATAGRATTTTGATTTTCAGCTGTGTGCGCCCATCATAAGGCTGCAGGTGGCCAYTCAGATAACTGTTCAAGATATGTTTCTCTTGGGGAAAAAGGGAGGATTTATTCACATAATTTATCCACGTTGTGAACCTGATTTACAGGATGAGCAGAAGATGAGTGTCAGGTCATTCCAGCATGATTTTAGTCAGACAGTCAGTGTGCCGACTGCAAATATGATTAGAAAGTGTTGGGTGTTTACTCACCTGCAGGACCCACTCAGAGTCCTCCAAGGCTTTCAGGAAGGAGTCCTCAGAGTCCGATGAGGGGGCACTGGGGGCGCAGGCTCTCAGCAGCTTTTTAAACGCAGCTTTCACCTGCCGCGTGTCGGCGAAATCCACCGGGACCAGCTCACAGTTCAGAGAGGAGTCCAGCCGGAGGCCCTGCAGTGATTTACATCACATTACAGACTGGAACACAKAACATAAAGCTACTACACAACTGTTGATGAGTTTTGAACCAACTAAACAGTGAAATTCTGACTCTGTTCATTTATATTTATTTTATTACACTTTGATTAAAGCCATTGACATGTATTATAATACCAGACTAAATCAGCAGGATGCAGTTTGTGTTTTTCATCTAATAGAAAAATACATATTTCAACACACCTGCATGAATCAACACCAGAAAAACATCCTCTGAGGTGTATTTTGRATTTTAATAAGGCCAGTGGGCCTCATGCAGGAACATGTTCGTATTCTTATACTAAATTTCTCTTACTTTTGTTCGTACAAAGGGTTCGTACAAAAATGTCACGTCAGATTCAACAAACTCTTCTATCTTCCTGAAAAGTGTGTAAATGAYCTGCGTAAATTTCACCTGTTCGTATCAGCTGCTCGTGCACGCGAGAGGAGATTAGCATAATTACCACCCCAAAAACACCATATAAGGCTATGTTTCCTGCCTCAGATATCAGGAAG